TCAAACAGGTTGAGAGGCAGGAAAGTGAAGAAATTGTATTTCGATGTTTTAATTGAATTGTTCTGTAGGGGAAAAAAAGGAAAATAAGTAGGATTAGTAAAACAGGAAACAAAATTACAGCACAACACAATTCAACTGTGTTTTACTTGCTTATATTTAGCAATCGCATTGTTTCCAACAGCAGTTCAAAAACATTTCCTTTTTCCCCACACAGTCATGCCTAGCTTGGATAAACAGTCAGAATTCTTCTTGGAACTGGTGAAAACATGATGCTCAATTTATGCCAGTGCTGCTGCAGGTAGATACAGGTACATGTAGTCGCTTACAGAGACATATATTCCCTTTATTAATAGTCTTTTTACTTACACAATACACAAACAGAATGAAGAACTGTAACCAGAACACAACTATTTTTCTGGTAGCATCTGCAAAACAGTGTTAGAAAACACATGCCAGGTGAGGCATCTATAGCTTGTCTGAGCCTTTGAAACATCTGTCTTCTGGACAACACCACAGGAGCTATAGGTCTTCCCAGGGGTAGAATATGACACTATTATTATTTTCAGCTGATTCAGCATCCTTTCCGCTCAGCGACTTCAGGGGGTGTCTTGTTTCTATTCCACAAAGATCACTTGGATGTGGTGTTGTGCAAACAGCCACTAATAAAGGAACTCCCCATTTCACTAAGCAAGTTGCAGCTCTGTTCCCTATTTCCAGTTTCCTTTTCTAATTGCAGATAGCCCCTCTGGCCACAAGAAGTGGATGCCCACCATCTGTCTTCTGCAAACCAGAAAAAGACCCAATCTCAAGATTACAGAACTGGCTATTTTCTTCCCCAAAGATCAGAGCACTCTAGTCCAGTACTTGCCACTAGCCAGATCGGCTCAATGCATCATACTTGGGCTGTCCCTTCAGTTTCAAGGTGTGCTAGACTTTCTTTTCATGTGAATTTTAACAAACACTTGCTCAGGTTTAGTCTTGGAAGGATGTATGCCTACTATTGCCAGTACATCAAAATTTCTCCCCCTAGAAGCTCTCCAGATGATGCCTACTAACCCCACTCCAGAGAACCTAAGGTCTCACAGCACAAGGTGGCAGATATGAAGCACACCTTCATTCTGTAATAGATTTGCTGGTTCAACAGAAGAGAAAATGATGATTGCAGTATTGTAATAGCCTTTAGATATTGCTAAGCTGGTGGGAGGACAGGAACTACTAAGTATGAATCATAGCCCACTTCTAATCCATGCATTAATCCAGGATCTTGACATCTACACTGAAATACATTAGCATGTTTCCACCACTAAACCAATTATTTAAGATTACCAGTGCAAGGTGTGTATGGGGGAAGTTAGTCCATTTTAGGCAGCTATTGGATTTCTCTATGTTCAGACACAATGTTCTTCAGCATTAACTTCATGTTTTATCCCTCAGACAAGCCAAGTGACTAAGTCTCTAAAAGGGCAGAAATGGAAACACCCTTCATGGAAGAGCTAGCCAAATCCTACCATTGACTGCACTCCAGCAAGGAAAGGTATTTATCAATGATGATCATATAAACAATGTCACCTGTCTCCTGACATCACATAGCCACATCCAAGTGTGTTTAATTCTATGTCATGACATATGGTTAAATTTGGTTGATTTCAAAATTCTTTGCCATCTGTGTTGGAGACCGGGTCCGTGGACATTGCTAAAACAGAAGCAATGTAATAACAGCATCCTCTGCAAACCCGATACATATTGCTTGACAAGACTGTGCCCATCAGATATGGAGTCTAGCAGACTTTTTAATACAAACTGGATCTAAATATGCCTCCTCCCTACTATTATGAAGAAAAGTATAATGGTCACTTACTGGAAAAAAAACAAAGAAAAGACAGTAGCTGCAGGAAAAAGTAAGTGCAGGGGACTTGACCTTTGTGCGTCAACAGATTTCAGAGGGTCACATACAACATGGGAAAAACTACTCAGTAAACACTCAGATAAGGTTTATAGATCTTTGCCTGCACCAATCTCAGAGGGGAAAAAGAAAAGAATGGGAGTGGTTTATTTCAATTCCTGCCTTCTATTTCTGTCTATTAATTACGTCAGGAAAACCACCAAATGAACCACAGCCATTCACTTTATTTCCTATTGCCATTAGGCATGGTAAAAACCCCAGACATAACAGCTTAAATACATAAATGCTTAACTGCAGGAATCTGAACATCCAATGTTTTCTCCATAGTTGTCCAGGATCATGATATTGTTGGGCACAGACTGTCTTTTGGGACACTGAGATGCTTTAGACCTCAGGATAAGGAGAGGGAGTATTATCACAGATCTTGTCATTATTCTGGAATCTATAATTAAAACTAATCACCAGGAAAAAAAAAGAATAAAACACCACAACTAAAAGATCCTCATAATAACTATGCAGATTTCTAGTTCAACATGTAACTTGTTCATGGACTTCAGGGACTAAAGGAATATCAATAGTAAATGATAATAACAAACTAGAGAACACTTCAGTCTTTCCAGTTCAAAGATCTACATTCCCATATCACAAATTACGTTTGAAGCTCTAGCTCTAATAATTCTATAATTACATAATTATAGAATAGGTTGAGTTGGAATGGACCTTAAAGATCATCTAGTTTCAATCCCCTGCCATAGGCAGGAACAGCTTCCACTTGACCAGATTGCTCAAAGCTCCATCCAGCCTGGCCTTGAACACTTCCAGGGATGGGGCATCCACAGCTTCCCTGGGCAACCTGTGCCAGTGTCTCACCACCCTCATAGTAAAGAATTTCTTCCAGCATCTAATCTAAACCTTACTCTCTTTCAGTGTGAAGCCATTGCCCCTTGTTCTGTCACGACTTGCTCTTGTATGAAGTCCCTCTCCATCTTCCCTCTCCATCTTCCTTGTAGGCTTCCTTCAGGTACTGGAAGGCCAAAATTAGATCACCCTGAAGCCTTCTTTTTTCCAGGATATCTTGGTTGGCTACCGAGAAATCTCAGTTGGCCGCTGCTCTTGATCTTATCCTACTCCATGATGCTTAACACCATCACACCCTGTCACTCTACCAGAACCAGACTCTGGGGTGGGAGGGGTGCTATGGGAACATGCAGCACTGCAGTGTGCTAAATTGTCCATATGCAGATATAATTTATAAGCAATGCCTCTAACACATTATCTGCCTCACCTTCACTGCGCTCTGCCTTCAGTGGAGGAGATTCCCAAAGGGGAAAAGTTATGGAAAGGAAAAAATCTTTGTACCAGCAATTAGGTATTGAGAGGCCTTAATTGAAATTATGGTTTTCCTGCAGATTTGTAAAAATCAACATCTAAGAAAAAAAGGCCTATGGGATAAGCACAAAGATGGGAATGGGGAGCTTTACACTCACTCCCAGATCTGCCCTAGACTTCTGTTTTTCTGGGGGCAGTCCCTGCATACATCTGTGTCCTAAATGAGCAGGCTTGAGCGTGGTTACCCGCCATCAGCCTTAAGTTTTCCAGATGCGAAACTTGACACCAGAGCTATGTTGTCTGTGGGTGAGGGATTATTCTCATCTGCTCTTTTCAGGGGCTTGATTCACACCTCCTAGAGGTGTGACTCCACCAAAATGCTGTCCCTAAGAATAGTGCTCATCCCTCCACAAGTTACACAAGTCCAGATCTGGCAGATGAGCTGTTACTTTGGGGGTGTTTTCAGAAGCTCGCCTGTGACGTCCAACTGCGGGCAAAACTCAGCAGATGGTCCCTACCTTTGTTCACTGAGCAAATAAATCATCTCCTCACCATAAAAGTCACTGGAAGTAAGAGACACTTCCTCATTTGTGGCTAGATTACAGGGGCTAAAGGGCAGGGCCAGGGTATTGATCATCTGAATTTAAATACCTGGCTCAGTGGCATAATAGTTTCTAGCAGCTGGACAACCTGGCCTGAAGCAAATTTTTGCAAAACTGGCAATCCCACAGGGAGGTGTTATGCCACAACATGTGGCAGTTTCCCTGGTACTTGTGTAGCACAAGGTACAGCCTGATGGAAGAACTGAGAAGCAGAAGTATCTTTCACAGGTGTTTCGATAAAGCCTCACAAGGAGGTGGCAGAAGTGCAATTCCATGGCATTTTGTTTAACTGCAGCAGTGCCATTGGAAAGCACACAGATGCCATGAACAGAAATGTGACCACAGGGTTGTGAGTGTGCTCATGGAGGCATTTCATAAACCCGTGTAACAGCACATCTGGTGCCACAGAGGCTTTGTCTTCATGGGGAGTACAGAATACTCAGACCAGAGCAGTTTTAAGCTGCCCAAGTACGCTGCTTTATTCCTGATGGTGGGCAGCAGCCTCAATTCTCCGGAAGACTGAGAAAGGGCAACAGGATGTGATGGTGTTAATCTGGCCCCTGTAAAGGTCCCTGTATAAAAAAACCCACAACTCCCAGGAGTAAAAGACTGACCAAATACCAGAAATAGAAACATTCATATCCAAACAACAATTCTCTTTTTTTCCCCTCTTTTTTTCCCCTTTCTTTTTCTTTTAACAGAAGAAGGATGGAAATGTCTAGCATATGTAACCCCTCGACCCCCTCTTGGCAGCACTAATGAAGTGAGTTCCAGGATCTCATCACATGTTAGGTATTCCAGGAAAATCTCTAGGAAAATGTGGTCACTGGTTGCGTTTTCCTATGTTGTTCCTTCTGCCTGGTGTCATCCCATTACAGAGCAGTTAATTATCACTGTGGTGAGTGTCCTCCAGTGGTGAGAAGGAGGACACAGAGGTGGCATAGCTTGACAACCTCATGTCATTGCTCACAGACAGGCCAAATACAGGACCTAAAGGTCTTGCCTCTTACTCATCCCTTCAGCTACACTGTGTTCTCCTCTGGCTTGACTCAATACCTGAAGCTGCTGCCTGGCAGGGAGGAGTAGAGAAGAGGACATCACTGCTCAGTGGTGCAAAGGAAGCAAACTCCAAAGCACGGTACTCCGTTTGTTAAAGTCTCACACAACCAGACTCTCAGCCAGTATGGTAGGAGTTTTGACTCTGTGAGCCCTCCACAGAGGGCTTGGTTCAAAGGAGTTTGTGGACTTCACTGAAACTCACATCTGGCACAGCTCAACGTTTATGTGCTTCTCAGGGCTTTAATATGCCTTAAGGGCCTTGATGTCATCTGGTCTCTCCTTCCACAATCCCTGTCCGGGGCTCAGGAGCTCACTTAAGCCCAGCCATGGGTCTTCTAACCTCACCTGAGCTATGCTGTAGGAGTCCCTGTCTCTAGACTGTCACCTGTCCTAGTTTCCTAGATGGACCTATCTAGGTCTGCCTCCTGGAAGGACCTCAGACCTATGGTGTAGATTTGTCTTCAGCCCTGTCTCTCACTACTCCTGTCTGGGCTCCCTGGGTGGGCCCTGGACCTGGTTCATCACCTCACGTTGTCTGGGATGGTCAGCATAGGCCCCATTACCAGCATCCTAACCTGTCTCCCACAACCAGATGCTGCAGGGCTGCACCCTGGTCAGTGACAACTCTGCCTGAGCTGTGGTCATCTCTACTCCCAGCTTGCACCCTCTTGTAGGGCAGCCCTGCTCTGGCTGCTCCCTAACACTGCCTCAGCTGGTCTTTGGATGAATCCAGCTAACACCTTCCTAAACACAGAAGGAGCAGTACAGGTTGCTTCAGGGGCTACACAGACCCTTATTCACCTGATCACTCTCTTCAGCCTTGAGGTTGAGGCAGGAAGAGAGGGCAGTTGGTACCACCATGCTGACCACACTGATAAAGTCCTTGAGGATAATCCACCAGGCGTCCTTCTGAGGTCAAAGCGTTCAAGCAGAGGAGCGGGAGCAGAGTCTGAGCCCACTACTGGAGCTCCTGGCTTTCCAATTAAATTTCAAAGCAGTAAGAACTCAGCTGCTGATCCAGCCCAGGGCAGTGTGTATTGGCCATAGGAAGTTATATACATCCCTCCTATTTCACTTCATTGTGTGACCAGAGAGAACAAAAGCAGAGTCCAAGTGGCCCTCTTGCTGCTGGTTCTGATGAAAGGATGCTGGTTTGACCCTGGATCCTGATCCAAGACAAAATCTGCCATTGACTCATAGGTCCTGCATTTCCTCTCCTATTGTCTGAATGCCAATTTCAAAGTTGTTTTTGGAGCCCTTCATGACGTCCCAGTGCAGCTGTGCTAAATTCCAACGTGAAAGCGAAGAAATGAAAGGAAACTGGGATCAGAGCGAACATTAAAAGCCTTCAGAAGAGATTTTCTTCTCCAGAGTGTTGATGGAGAGCCCATTGTGGTGGACCCACACAAGCAGTCCCCTCTGTAGCTGTACTGGGGAATGTTAGGACATACTGAGGACAGTGCAGACAGATTAAACTGACTCAGATAAGAACCTTGATTAAAGCCCTTAAATCTTGCTGTACCACACCTGGCACACTGATTTCCACTTTATTTCAGTCTCTACACACACAAATGTCTTACTGATTTTAGGAATGATTTTCCTCACTGCGGCGTGAATAAACAGGGGATCAGAGTCTGACTTTTCATTTTTACTGACCTATATGGAGTCCTTTTTTGTGCTGCTCTAAGTGCCTTTGCATGCCAGTCATTCACACTTGTTTCTGAGTCATTCCTAACTAATTTTGTGAGCTGGTGGGTAGTACGTACCTTCACACTCAGCCCTTCCAGTTAACTGCACAGCACCTTGTTTTAAAGTTTGTTTTATTTTTCTAACCCTCCTGCTTAGAGGGAGGCTCTGTGGCTGGAGGAGTGCGGCAGGGACACACTGTAGTTTAGCATCTCATGTAATTTCTCATGAGCTCTGGGAGGGAATTTACTCTCCAAAGTCTTCTGCAAGTTCAAGTGTGATGGATCTAGACATGCCCTCGCACGCACTGGCAGACATGGCTTTCCATGGTGAGCATCAGGTTCCTGCAAAGCTTGTTTGAACATATTCAGAAGTCTTGCTTCATACCAGGAGGGCTAGCTTTCAGCGCCTGCCAGAGCTGATGTCAGACTCCACACACAATAGTTTTCAAGTCTTTCTTAGCTCCTCTCCTCTGCCTTCACAGATATCCTGTAGACTTTGCACCAGGACGGGACAAAGTCCCACCAGGGACAGGGGTATTCAGGGACAACACACCCATCTCTGATTATACTTTCCCACTTCCCTGTTCTCACTGAGAGGACAAAGCACCTCCGTACCTTTGATCTATGTCTACATAATAGAAACTCTCTTTTTAGTGAAAGCCTCAAACCTTCAGACCAGCTGGGACATAGAGCCTGGCCTCAGCACTAAGGCAATACGCAATGCCTCTGTTTGCATTTCCCTTCCTTTCTCCTTACTGGCCTTTCTCAGCAACTGCCTCACCCTAAAGAAACATTTAATGCCTCACCTAGCTTTGTTACAAGAACCTGTTCTATAGGTTTTATGGCTAATGTGGCCTTCAGTTACCAAGTAAAGTACACTTCACTCCTGTGTCTTTTTTCTGCCTAAAATGCTTTATAAGCTTTGTTATATTGGTGGGTTTTCTTTGAACTTTGGTGGTCCTTTCTCCCTGGATCACATCCTAGTGCTTAGTAGTACAATCCCACTGTGTTCAGGCAGGGCCCAAATTTGACCATTGCCTGGAAGAGCTAACTTTCAGGAGCATCATGCATATGTTGATGGGAGGGTTATCTCCCTTTTATGCATCTCCAGATGCACACTATACATACACATACACATATACATATATATATATCTCTATAGCATGGGATGTGAAGTAATTTACAAGCAAGGTTAGTCCTTTTCATACACTGTGGTAATGTGGAGTTAATAAGTTGAACTTTTGCCAGAATTTACTGGAAATAAGCAGTCTGGGTCATGATGTGCAGCCCTGTAGAGTTAGGGCAGTGCTTGCATCACCACTCAGAGTGTATTAGTACCTCACCATCCACTTACCACTTCAAGGTTTGGCTCTTTTGGGGCAGTTTTCTGGATCCCCTAAGCCTCAGTCTACACTGGACCCCAGAAATCATGAGTTACAGCTAACCAAAAAGAGGGGCAGGATTACTGAAACTCACTGCCAAGTTTTAACAGATTATATTGAGATGGCTTTTTGGGAGCCTCCACTTTCATACCTAATCACAGACTTAGGGAAACTCTGAAGAGTTTTCTAAGCTGTCTACTTAATTGTAGTTATTTGCAAATCCTTGGCCATGCAAGCAATCAGCTGGGAAGCAGTGACATGCAATGGCTTTCCACAGAAATAGCTCAGAACTAGAAGAGTTGCTTGTTCTCTCTACCCTGATATCAATTCCCATCTCCCTCCTGCTTTCCTGACCCACTGCTGCACATAGTCTATGCTGCAGTTACTCAATGGAAGATAACAAATCCATACATAGTGGCAATATCCACCCCAATATGCTACTGGCAGGTTCTGTGCAAAACAAGTGCACTTTCCCAGTCTCAAATCACCAGGCTTGATAAGATATTCACATTGCATAGTCCTTTACATATATTAAATTCCATGTATTTCATATTCAGGACACATGCAGCAGCTCTGGACCTTGGAAGTCTTTAACCTGTGTTTTGTATTTCATGGATTAAAGGTGACCACTAAAAACCATCCAGTTAACGTTGCCATTAGTCAAACCTGTTGGCAAGTCGAACTTTCTATCTCACATGAAATTACAGTGTTCTGAAATGTTGATTTTTTTTCTGTTCTTACTGAGAAAATACTTGTGATGGCCCTAAACCAAAACATGATTCAAAGGAGCTCTTGAGTAAAACCAAATAATTAATTTTGCCACTGAAATTCAGACATCCAGTGGACAAAAATTCACAAAAATCATTTCAAGATTAATCAGCAGCTGCAAACATTTAGAAAGTATGTAGCTTCGGGATGGTCTCACGGAAGTGATGACCTGCAGGCGAGCAGGACAGGTCTGGTGACTGAGCTAGTCCTCCTCTGCACACAGCACCAACAAATAGTCCATGAGCTTTGGAAACCAAGTTGACCACGGGGCTCTCTGGCACATTAGCTTGGCAGACCCAGGCCAGGTGTCAAGCCAGCCTGTGTCAAGGTGCTCCTTGGAGTCACAGATTCCATGGCACAATGTGAAACAAAGTAGGCTATTAACAAGTTGGCAGAAAAGCTGGCAGGAAGCCACAAGGGCCAGGTTCAAAACCTTTCTGCCAAAGAGAATTTCACTGCAAGAGCTGAGGAACTGACACATTTCCTTTCATGTTTTACCTTAAACAGAGACACATTTCCACACAAAACACCCCACAGGTTCTGTTATTGAAAGGCCTTGGAGTCTGATCCTGGAAACGCTTTGACTCACAAATAATTTTCTGGAAGCATGTAAGTCACTGTGACATGCTCTTCCAGAATCATATCTCCTTCAACTGCCCATTTTGCAGGCTGACCCAGCAGTTCATCTGGCACATGTTTGCCTGGTTTGCAGAGCCATAGCTGACGTGCAGTTCTTGAAACAACATCCAAGACATGAAGCAGATGCAGCTACATCTGTGACTACATCTGCATGAAGCAACATATGCTGGTTACTTACAGCATATTCAAACTGCAGGTTAAAATCCCGGTTGTTTGCTTGAAGTTGTCTCTCTTCCTCTGTAAAGAAGAGGAAACACATCAGACATGCTTAGGGGCAAGCAGCGTCAATATGGATATGAATGAAATGTCAGAAAATGCAAGCAAAGCTGCTAAAAGGCAATGTCACCAGGAATCTGTGCCCTGTTCCAACTGCCCCATGTCAAGGTCAGTTCTCTATGTCAGGGTCAGTTCTCTCTTCAGTTAGAGGCTGGTGACACTGATGGAGCAGCACTGTGGACTGGTACCATAGCACTCTAATCCCATGCTGCAATGCCAGAGCTGTTTTTGCAGGTTGTTCAGCTTCTCCTGGGTAACTAGTGGTGCTCACTATTCCTGCCCTGCTCTGTCCCTTCTACCTGAAGACTCTGGAGCTGTTGCCATTGGCTATGGTTTGTGTCCTTCTTCCAGTACAAATGCATCGCTGAGCATCATCCCACAGATGGGTTACCATAGCTATCATGAAAACAAAAACTACAGGAAGGGATATCAAAAGGTCATCAAATCCATCCTTTAGCTCAAAGCAGGGTCTCACCTCTCATTCCCAATAAATGTCTTCGTGATAGTCCAGTGACGGCTGTTCTTCAAACTGCCTATTCCTGGACTGCAGTGTCTGTCTCCCAGGGGAGGTTTTTCTTCCTGCATTATCTCACATAAAACTCATTACTTCAGTTTAAAATAATTGTTTCTTCTCCTGGGATTGTCAAAGGTGCATTTACTCAAGTGAAACCAATACATCTATAATTGCTCAGCTTCTCTTTTACCCTGTTTCATGATAGATGTTGTGCTTGCTCCCTTCCCAGTCTTCTGAACTTTGCCTGCCTGTGGACCAGAAACTTTTGAAGGCAGCATTGCTCCAGGGCATGCTTTACCTTATCCAGCAGAGCCAATGCCTCATCAGTCAATGGATATCATTCATTTGTCCTTGTGGAACTGCATCCAAATTTTTTCAGACTATTTCTCCAGCTAGCCAATTCTAATCCTATCTTTCAATGCACTTCTAGCTCCTGCCAGAGTGGTGCCATTCACAGATGTACTAAGTGTGTTCTTTAGTCTGTCAGCCAAGATGTAGGAGAAAATATTGAACACCAGACTCAGGATAGGATACATCCCTGATGGATGTCTCAAGTTTCATAATCAGTCATTGATACCTATTGTTAGTGACTTTTTTTTTTCCCGAGAAGTTTGGCACTCACTGTATTGTGATTTTTTTCTCAAGCATGTATCCCCAGTTTACTTGCAAAAATGCCAAAAGTGACAGTCAAGATACATGGCAGCTATCTAAGGCTTTTTCAATAGCCCTCTGGCTACCACTAAAACAGAATCAATTTTCGTTTGATGCAGCTTTTCAGGACTGCTGACTGTTAATCACCTCTTCCCCACACACACACTTCTAGTTACTTTGAAGTGGTTTGTAGTATTGTTTTAACCTTTACTCAAGTGAAGCCAATACATCTATAATTCCTCAGCTTTTCTTTTTCCCATTTCAAGATAGATGCTGTATTTGCTCCCTTCCCAGTCTTCCAAACTTTGCCTGCCTGTGCACCAGAAACTCTCAAAGGCAGCACTGCTCCAAGGCATGCTCTACCTCACCCAGTCAACCCATTCCCTCTCTACTCCAGCCCAAAAGCACCCTTTTTCTCCTCTGTTTCTAGCAAATATAATGTTAGATGTCTAAATAAATTTAAAAACCCAACAAAACACCTCATATTTCTTAGCTTTATTGACTACACTTTTTTCACTGAGCAGCTGACATAAACTATCTTTGATCTCCCTGTTATGGGAAGAGCTACAGAACCCCAGAAATCTCAACTGTTACTGAACAAATTTTGTTGCCCTTTATGTCCTTGATAACCTTTTCTTGCTTTGAGCCTTTGCCACACCATTTGCGCTGGATAAATAAGCTAGTTTGCACCTTCTAGATGTATTCTTCCTCTGTCTGATGTGAATGAGAAGCTTGTGATTTTGCCATTACACTTAAACTTCTGAGCCTTTCCCTGAAAGGTGATAACTTATACATGTGATCTTAATATCAATTAATAATATATGTGCCCCTAATATCAATTAATATTATATGTGCCCTTAATATAAATTATTTAAGGAAATGACAGCTCTAATTCTCCCTCCACCCCAGAATTCCTTCCCATGAGATCTCAGTTACTAGTACTTTACATTTACTGGACATTTCCTTCTTGAAGTCAATTTTAAACAATTTGCTATTGTCACTTTTTCCTAAGTATCATCCCATCATTTCATAATAATTCCTGTTTACACCCTCTCCAGCTTTCACAGGACCAGCCAGCTCCTCCCATTCCCCCCCTTTTGGAGGGAATCAGTTCTGAAACAACCTCTAGCTCCAAAAAATTACCCCACCTCTGCACCAAAACTCTGTGCCAGCTGAGCAAGTAGTGTTCCTCTATGTTCTTCTCCAGCTATGCCTCTGCATAGCTAGAATTCTTTATTTACCACCTTGCTCAGCCTCTCAGAACACTGTATATATTTTTTTCCACAAAGGACTGCCCTTCTTGGTTTGCCCTGCCTGTGTTCTTTACTCTTATAGTATTACTCAGAGATCTACAATTTGTTTGCGTCTTTCTTCATGCTGTACCTCAGACCATGAAAATCACACAAGGAAAACCTCACAGAATTAGCTTTATTCTTCTATTAATATTCCAGCTTCATGAGGTATCACAGCACATGCCTGTTACACCTATTAAATTATGTGTTAAGTCATCTAGTTCTTCCTGTTCATCACTTTTGCATTAGTAAGCATCTACGCTGTTCAGTTCATTGAACTTCTATCCTTCCTCCTTTCCCTCCAATGACCCTCTAAATAACATAGCATCTCTAATTTTTAAGTCTTTTTTCAGATTGCCAGTTTTTGGCCTCTGTCTGTGGGATGCCCTCTAATCAAGCCCTCTAATTACTAATGTAAATCTATGATAGCGGGCAGTTGTGCTTTTCCCCTTCCTTAGGCACATTTAGCTGTGCCATGCATTTCCAAATCAGCTCCCATCTGCCCCAACTGGGTGATTCAGACCAATCACAGAGGCTTCATTCCAGACCATCAAAGTGCTTAATCCTTCACTGCTTTCCTTGAATACATATTTCTCATCCTTCACAATAGGGAGAACAATGTACTGAGAGATCAGAGTGACTTGTCTTGTGTCCCAGAGGAAAACAGAAGCAGAGCTCAAGAGGTCCAGGCTTGCTGTGCTTCAACTCTTGTGTTATGTGCTCCTTCAGGAATTTTCCTGAGAGCAACCAGTATTGTCAAGGCCGATGAAAGATAAAGTTATTTGTTAAAAACAGAACTTCCCAACACTTGCATGTTTCCTGCCATACAGTTAGTGCTACTCTTATCCCCTCCCCAAGGGCTCCAAGCCTAGTCCTGGAATAAATGTAACAGAAAAGACAAATGATGGTAATGTAAACAGAAATGGATGACAAAGCTTGAAAACCTGTCTGGCTACACAGTAGAGCCTTGGTGTCCCACAGCAGCTTTGAAGAGGCTCTGAAGTCCTCGGTGACTTTCTGGTTTGCACGCAGAAACAGAAATCTAAGTGCTGCAGGCAATAGCTGGACATGCTTTGAGCTCCTTTGCTCTTCCCAGGTCTTGATGGGGTTGGGAAGAGCCATACCCTTCCTCAAGTTGCCCCCGGGGTCTTTGCAGATGGGGGAGAGGCACTCAACATGTGCATTTGAATTCAAGGGTCTCAAATGAAAGAAGACAACACATGTATGTGTCCCAGTGAGGAAGGGGACCTGGCTTCTGAGCACAGTGAGAGATACACATGAAATGGCTTTTACGTGAGACAGACAAATGGCTGCAAATGGCTCAGAGATGGCACAGAAACATGAATCAGTGGGACGTGAAACAAAACAGAAATGAAATTCAATCAAGGCATTGCACTCCCATGTCTGATCACATGGTGCCTAAGGGCAGATTTTCTATGGCAACCCATTTCTGCAGGCCCCAGACAGCTATGAACCTGGTTCAAAACTGAATGGAGCCTCTGACTGCCATAGACATCCATCCCTTTCAGAGGCAGTGTTCCTAAAGGCCAAAATACAAGGCCGATTTCTAGTGCTGAGAATTTAATTTTTCCTCTGGTTAACAGCCAATACCTTTGGCTAAATCAAGAAAAACCACAACAAATTGCACAGAGAGCCTCATCTAACAGCATCAGTAAGGACAGCTTTCTGTCCTCTGGCTACACCAAAGGAGAATCACTCTGACCACACAAACAGGGCAACACTGCCTCAGTGGGTTCATTTTTACCAACTAAGAACAATGAGTTCCTGCCACTGTGCCTCCTAATCCAGCAGTTCTCAACTGTCTTAGACCACACAACTCTCTGTTTCAGGAACAGCCTCTTGAATGATCACAACAAACAAAAAATAAAGGCAAGTCAAGCATTATACCAACTTGGCCTGGAAACCACAGCTCAGGGTATTTTGGTTGTAGATTCAAGCACACGTCATATTGTGCCCTGTTGGTTTTGAAAGCAATGAGGAAAAAGGGAGAGGAAATATCTAGGTCTATCGGCTGCAAAGGTTTTTAATTTCTTGAAACTTTTTATATCACTAAGTAACTCAGATGTCTGCTTCTGCAAACTGCAGTCACAAATCACTGGAAAGAAGGAATGGTATTTGTGCTCCAAGTTATCATTTCACTGCCACTGAAAACTATTTTAAATTATTCATCAGTGGAAACTCAGTGTACATAAATATGGCTTACTGCCCAGTTCTTGGTCTAACCACTGAGACCAAGTCACTGGGAAAGTGCCTATTTTCTCAGGCAGACAGTTTTGGGAACTAAACCACAGAATAACATCTGTATTTAATAAAATTAAACCCATGCCAAAAAATCAGCTATAAATGTAACTGGCTAGCCTACCCACCTTCTTCATTTGGGACTACCACACGGAAAAGTCCTGCAGAAGGTTAGATTCAAGATCTGGTCAGACAGCCTGGAAATATTTTCTGGCTTGTACTAAGGAGCGTGTGCCAAGAGCAAT